TCCAAGATGCCATGCGGTTCATGCAGTCTGGCAAGCACATTGGAAAAATTATCATTGAGTTCCACTCTGAGGACCTGGTTCGAGTGATTGAGCCACGGAGACCCCGTGCCGAGTTCGCGTCAGATGCTACCTATGTTGTCTCGGGCGGCTTTGGTGGTCTTGGCCTGGAAATTATCCGTTGGATGGTTAGCCAGGGCGCGCGCAATCTTGTCGTTACTTCACGAAAGGGGCCTGACGACGAAGCTGCCAAGGATCTCATCAGAAGTCTCCAAAGCGATGGCATCAAGGTCGTTGCTCCTTGTTGTGATATTACCGATAAGAAGGAACTTGAGCAGGCCATTGCTTCAGCGCTATCTTATCTACCGCCAGTGCGTGGATGCATCCAGGCTTCTACGGTTCTCAGTGTAAGTCATGATCCCTTTGGCAACATGTCCTACCGACATTACTGATACCTCTTAATAGGACAACGTTTTCGCTGAAATGACCCTAGAAGAGTGGAATGCAGCAGTCAACGTCAAGGTAGCGGGAAGTAGGAACCTGTGGGAAGTCCTCATTGCCACCAAAAATGACATGGACGATTCAACACTCGACTTCTTTGTCATGTTGTCGTCACTTACCAGCGTCACCGGCAACAACGGCCAAGCGAATTATAGCGCAGGCAATTCGTACCAAGACGCCATGGCCCGCTTCTTGTCATCTCAAGGCCACAACGTAATCGCTCTCGACGCCCCAGTGTTGACCGATGCTGGCATGGTCGCTGCGAGACCAATGTTGAGGGAGTATCTTCTCTCGATCGGCTGGGCTAGCATGTCTGTGGAAGAGCTTGTCAATGCGCTGGATTACCACTGTCGCCCCAGGTCCGAGAGCGCGGAGCTCAAGGTAAAGGGTGCTCAAGTCATTCCCAGGCTCTGGTTGCCCAAATACTCGGCGGATGAAGGCGCTGAACAGCCTAAATGGCAGCATGAGCCGATGTATAACCACTTAGTCTTCCACGGCGCTTACGGTGACGGTTCCTTGCCCGGCAAGCAAAGCTCTGCGAAGCGCTCAGTTGGCGACCTGATCGCTGCTGCCGAGTCCCTGGGAGATGCTGTGGAAGCCGTGCTTGATGCTTTGCTGGGACAATTGGCCAAGATTCTCAGCTACGAGCTGGCAGATATTGATCCCTCCAAGCCCTTGAATGCGTTTGGTGTAGATTCTTTACTGGCGGTAGAACTTCGAGTGTGGTTGACCAAGGAGGTTGGCGCAGACATCTCGGTCTTTGAGATTACCGGCGGGCAGGGCATCAAACAGCTTGCAGAAAAGGCCGCAGCTATTTCGAGGTTTCGGCAGAATGCTACTGGGAAGTGACCCTGTTTGTCCTTATAATAGGCAGCAGTCCCTTCGATAAAAGGGAACTATGTTACCAGCCAATCAGAATCAAATAGATAGATAGACGGAAATAAACAAACACTAGGCGCAATGTACCATGAGAGCATAAATTACGCAAAGCTTTATGCAATTAATAAAGAACCGTGGGATCTAAAACAGAAAATAGATTTATTCGCGATGGCTAGGGGCACATCTCGGACTACACCGCAAAGTAGTCGGCCATTATCTAAGCTGCACGTATGCTTGTTGTGGATAAGGAATATGTCGAGAGACAGCATTATTCTGGTTGTATGCCCGGCCGCCACGATAGGTGAGGAAGCGGCCGACGATGTACTGGGTTTTTTGGCTTATGTCCCAGGTATGGAGCAGAGGTTTATTACCCATTCGTCCGCAGCCGCTAAGGCTGAGCTAACGCCGATGCAAAGTATTCTCGATATGCGGACGTCTAAGTATAATGTACTCACTAACGGCGTAGTTGACTGGGTAGGCGACCGCGTTCTGTATTGGCACGCAAGGGTCACTACGGACTAGCTGTTGGACATGCTCTATAGCGTCGTTGATCTGGCTGCGTTGCTACGCGTAGTCGACAATGGCAGCAGACTGTACCGAGGGCCGAGGCGAGCACGGCACCGTTGACGCGGATAGTACCTGGGCAGTGGAGCTTCTAGATGTGTCGCTGCTCCGGGTCCACTGACGGCGCCATTGATGGACTTGGACGCACGGTACGGGCATCACATCCTATATATGACTACGTACTACATTAACCTAAGGTCTAAGTCTCCGGTCGTCCCGTATCCCATCGGCCGCGGGTCAACGTCAGTACAAAGGTACGTATCTCCGTGAGGGAATTGAGCGAATTATAAGATAATCCGACTTTAGATCCCTTATTCCCGCAAACTGAATATCGATGATTATCTTCGACTTGGAGAAAAGCCAGAGAGGTTTGTACTGAGTCATACTGACGTTGGCCCGCGGCCGACGGGATAAGCTTAAGTAGTGGGCTTAGGGAGATGAATGAATTGCTTTAATATAAGAAGTTTTCAGACTACCTACTCCAGCTTAAACTCAAGAATTCGGTAACACCGAAGTTAAAGTTAGCCTCGATTTTGTGGCTTAGGTTGCTTGATAACCCTTTTCACTTGACAATAGGATTAGAGAGATTATTTGAGAGTTCCCGAGCACTCCGTTTACATCAATCCCAGTCAACTACATATAAGTCAAACCCCCCACTTCCTGGCACCCCCCTGTTTCTGGCACCCACAAAAACGATGGGATCACAACCCAACCTCCTCATTACTATTAACTATTGATCCTCAACCACACCCACTACAATACAACTGCCAGCCTCACTAGGGCATTCAGAGTCGCTGGATTCAGCCGTAATAACCTCCTTTTCACCCGCTTCGATTTGAGCCCGATGGATATCCCTGATGTTCGCAAACTTCGTGTTGGGATCGATCAGTCTTCCTCTTCCTAACTGCAGCGTTGGTAACTTGAGCCCTCAGGTGAGCCAGCTGCTGCTGGGCAGCTGCCAGTTGCCAGGCCTGCTCTGTGAAGCCTTTTCACCTTCCTGAACAGCAGCCGTTGAGTGCTGGTATCATTGTCGAGTTGGGTGTATAAGTGCAGTTGACCGCTGAGCTCTGCCAGCTTCCTGGGTGTCGACCAGACCACTGCAGAGGAAGCAGAATCCCATGGCTCAACAGGGTAGTTTGTTGACCATTATGGCATCGCTTTTGCCCCGACTGGTTGGTTTGTGTGGTGGGCTTAGCAGAAGGCTCAGGTAATACCATAGGGTTCATCAGGGGCTTAACCATCGCTACAGGGTGTAGACCAGTCCACTTCCAACCACTTCTGATGTTCGAGACTGATAGACCAGCAAGTCGAGCCTTCTGGTAACAGTCCAGGAAGTTCCTTTTACCTATAATGGTAGAGTCGTTCCATTGAGACAAGTAACCGAGCTCCTTCCGATAGGCTGACTTAACAGGGCTGAAGACAGACTGGTCAAGTGGCTGGAGGACATGAGAGGAGTGTGGTGGTAAGAACAGTAAATGGATATTGTTAATATAGCAATTCCACATGAAGTCTGTCGTCGTATGACTCCCATGCCCATCCACAATCAACAGTCGAGCCTCGCCCTCAGCCTCGGGCATAGTCTGTGGGATAAACACCTTCTCTAACCATTCAATGGCAGTTAAGTCTGTAGTCCAGCCATTATCTGTTGCTGTAAACTCCCACCCATCGTATGGAACCAGATGTAATGGAAACCACTGTTGTTGGACCGTCTTCCCTTGAAAATGATAAGAGGACGAAGTGCCCTACCCAAGGCTGAGATACACTCAATGATAGAGACCCATGCCTCGACCCAGGTTGTTTCTTGCGAACAGACGTCGTCTCAGCCATGCCCAGCACTAACCCATTAGCTCCCTGACCCTCGAGGATGCCAGTCTCATCCATATTATATCTGTTGGCTGGTTTGATGTCCTTGATCTCAGGGATAGCAAGGAACTTAAACCAGTTCCTAATGACCTCAGTAGATGCCCCATTAACGCGTCTAGAATCGATGGAACGACTTCTCTGAACCTTAATGATAGGTTCCTTCTCACGAAGGCATAGATCCAGCCTTTCCTAATGGTTTGGTATCCCAGCAGCAGCCAGAACTCGCTCTGCGAATTCCTTCACCTGTTGGTGCGTTGGTGCGAGGCCCAGCGAAGCCTGAATGCGAACCCATTGTGCCAGCTTACTCTCCTGGTCAGGAGACAGCCTCTGCCAGTCAGCAAAAGCCACTTTCCTAGTCTGACCACCTTGGAGACGTAGTTGGAGGGTTGATCGTGGTATCCCATACTCCAATGAGGCTCTCTTTGACTCTTGCCGTTTGAGATGTCCTCGAGAGCCTGACGAAGCTGATCTTCGGTATATTGAGGCATTAGATATAGAAGAAGGTATGCAAAAATGAGCCCATTTGGACTCGAATTGAAAATGTTGTGATAAAAGGAGGTTGGGGGTGGGCATTGCGTTGTGGTGGATTTTCGCGTTTTTGTGGGTGCCAGAAACAGGGGGGTGCCGGGAAGTGGGGGGTTTGACTTATCCCCAGCAGCAGCCAGAACTCGCTCTGCGAATTCCTTCACCTGTTGGTGCGTTGGTGCGAGGCCCAGCGAAGCCTGAATGCGAACCCATTGTGCCAGCTTACTCTCCTGGTCAGGAGACAGCCTCTGCCAGTCAGCAAAAGCCACTTTCCTAGTCTGACCACCTTGGAGACGTAGTTGGAGGGTTGATCGTGGTATCCCATACTCCAATGAGGCTCTCTTTTGACTCTTGCCGTTTGAGATGTCCTCGAGAGCCTGACGAAGCTGATCTTCGGTATATTGAGGCATTAGATATAGAAGAAGGTATGTGCAAAAAATGAGCCCATTTGGACTCGAATTGAAAATGTTGTGATAAAAGGAGGTTGGGGGTGGGCATTGCGTTGTGGTGGATTTTCGCGTTTTTGTGGGTGCCAGAAACAGGGGGGTGCCGGGAAGTGGGGGGTTTGACTTACTAGATGGGTCCAGAACACCAAGACCATTCAGCTCCAAGCCCATCTCAGGGGAAAGCAACACATTTGTACCACAGGCAATGGCCTTCCTCGATACGTATTAGCATAATATGGGAGGGAGGAAGCTATGAGATTTGGTACTGACGATATTACAGTCGCGTGCTTTCAAGCCAATGACAGCTTGATGAAGGGCAACCATGCTGCTCGAACAAGCAGTGTCAACACTCAGGGCTGGACCTCGGAGATCATAGAACCATGATACACGCCCAGCTAGGGTACTGGCAATGGTGCCACACGCCGTGTATGTCATGGGAGTGTCCACGTCCTTGATCAAGAGATCTCGGTAGTCCCACATGAACGCTCCCGCGTAGACGCCAGTGGGCGAGCCCTGCATGTCAGACATGGTGTAACCAGCGTTTTCCATCGCTGTGTAGACGCATTCAAGCAGCATTCGCTGCTGCGGATCCAGATTCGCAGCCTCTGCTGGAGTCATGGCGAAGAATGGTGCATCAAACGCCTTCACGTTAGCTTGCATGAAATGCCCTTCTTTTCCACCGATCTGCTTCCGAGTTAATCAAGCTTGAGATACTCAGAAAGAACTGTTAGGTGTCTTACGACTCCATCTCTGTGATTATCGGGGTGCCAGAATGCTTCCGCGTTGTAGCGATCTACAGGAACAGGAGCTCGCGCAGATCTTCCGGCAATCAAAAAGTCAAAGAACTTTTCGACGCTATCTCCATCGCATGGAAGCTTGGCATCCAGTCCAATGACGGCAATAGGATCAGCCATGGTTTCTGATAGGGAAGAGAAGATGAAGTCGGATTGTTGTTAGCGGGTTGGGAGTACGTAATGCTCCCTACCTTAGCATGAAATGGAACTCGGCAGTAATAATATCAACCGACGCGAACTTCTTACCACATAGGATTGAGAGCTGCTTTTTTAATGAGGGAACATATACATATATATATATTCATGTATCTAGATACATATTTTCTGGACTCTAAGGAAGACTGGCTAGATGTTGCCCAATCCCTCGTCATGATTATCTACGTCGCACTTTTGTTGTGGTGAGTCCATTTCTGCAATGCCCAGAATACGGACACTGCAGGGAGGCTTATCTTCCATTAATAATAACTCGCTGGAACCCTTGCGAAGAATCCCCGAGTTCTAGGGAACTTTTGTTTCCTGGGCATCGGATGCCGCGGACACGACAACGCGTTCCGAGAGTCTGCGTGATCTTGACTGGAGGGCACACTTTGTATGAGTCAAAGCATTCATCCGGGCGAGAAGGGGTAGTAAACACGGTCGCAAGTATACAGTAGGTCGCAAATAAAGCTCATGGCGTTGAGAAGAAACTTACAAAAGTACAAATGAAAGACTTATAGCATGCCTGTATTGAGATGAACTGGTACAAGCCGGATAGTGGAGAAATAAACCCAGCACATCAAGCAAGACCAGAAAGAATATGTATGGGATGCCGCTAGGAAACCCTGCTGAAGGATTAAGCCACTCTGAATACCGTACGACTAAGTCCTTTGGACATCACTTGGTCTTGTAGTCGCATTTCCACACTCACCTTGGAACTCATGATTTGACTGGTACATAACAAGTACTAACTAACATCTTACTTAGTGGAGGTGTACAATTATCTAGGTGCACTCTAGGTTTCGTGGTGATTATTCCAGCCTTTCACCATCTTCGTTTACATAATTGCCCTCCAAGCACTCTCAGTGATTGTCAGGTCGTGAGCAAGCCAGAACGGAGTTTACGTGTTGCAAATATGATGGCAAATGTTTCATCACCTACCCCGTGATTCCTACTCGACATTGTGAACGCGGCAGCAATTCTGTCGTAGTTCTCTGTCGTATTCGATCCCAGATACAAACATTGTTATATTTCGATTTTCTGCTAAGACGACACTGTCGTGGGGCATCGAAGCAGTCGAGACAGTCTAAGCTTAAATAGGCTAGCGTTGCAGAGAAGGAATATTATGTGACCTTACATGGTGACTTGACATCACATATGTACGTACATCATGACTGTACATAGGTTGTGTAGCATCATTGAGGCACATTCACCCAGCCTGAACTTAAAGCACTAGTCTTTTACTACAGTTCGTACTGTAATATTCTCTTATATACAAAGTAGCCAGTCAATCTCTAGTCTTGCACGAGGCTTTTCCCTCTCCTGATCGTTGATATATATCGGTCATCGGCGTCCGCATCCAGTCTCATAGGATTACCCCAGTCGTGATGAAACTACCCCCCAGATACTGGTGTGTGAAGGCGCTTGAAAACCTAAAGTAAAAGCCGTTGACATCGTCTGGACAATGATCTGCTACAAACTTGCTCATTGCTGGGTGGGCATCAAAGCGCGGAGTTATGGTCTAGTGAGGTAGAGTGGGAACGAGCAACGCATGGTCCGAGGATTCATACGTTCCGACAAGCAAAAGTTCCAGTCGGGATGCCTGTCTTCTCGCTACTCTTCAAAAAAACACAGGGCAGAATTGTAATGTCCCATGACAGTTGCCTCTCTTGTCAATACCCCCTGTCTCTAATGGATTTGCTCCACATAGAACCACGGTAGTATTCACCACGAATGCGAAATTCCCCGCCATGTCTAACCAAAGAGCGGTGCTGCGGACGGTAGAAGTCCCGAGGGCCCAAAGCCTGAGTAAAAATGCGACAACTATAAGGCAGCATGGTCACTGAGATATTCTTGGGCTGTACCACTCGACCGCATCTCACTTGAAATGATTATTTTGCATAATTGTATGAGAATCCTGTGGTTCAAAAACAGCATGATGTTGGCCGCCATTATCGTGTCAGTCCTTGTCTATTACTTCTATAGTTGCAGAAAGAGAAGCTGCAATCTCCCTCCTGGGCCTAAGCCTTTACCTATCCTTGGAAATGTCAGAGATTTGCCCCCGAGCGGCATTCCAGAGTATAAGCATTGGCTCAAGTTCAAAGACATATATGGTCCCATCAGTTCCATTCACATCTTGGGTCAGAAGATCGTACTTCTTCACGATCGTCAGGCTGCGCACGACTTGCTGACCAAGTCCTCGACAAAGACCTCTGGTCGCCCTTATATGCGATTTGCGGACATTTGCGGATTCGCATCGCTCCTCAATCTTCAACAATACGATGGAACATTCCGGCGGCATCGTAAATTAGTTCACCAGCAATTTGGGACGAAGGCAGTAGCAGCACGATTTCGGGACAGTATCGAGCCAGAATCACACCGATTTCTTCTCCGTGTTCTCGATGACCCAGCCAACTTGGCGCAGCACATCAAGACGTAAGTTCAACTAGCCTGAATGAACGTGGAGGCATCGACTCGGTGTACATCACTATGCTTTAGATTGTCCCTAATTGAATTCGCATAGTGAGGCGAGTGCTATCATTCTTAAGATAACTTATGGCTATTCGATCTCACATAGCGGAACCGACCCTTTGGTTCATCTGATTGAGCGCACGATGGACGTGTTTGCACTTGCAACTGTCCTGCTCGCTTGGGCTGTGGATATCTTGCCCATACTGCAGCATCTTCCAGAAGGCCTTCCAGCAACGTCATTTAAGAAGCAGGGTCGAGAATGGAGAAGGCTTCTGCAGACGACACAAGACGTCCCCTACTTGTTCGTGCAGGAAACCATGTCTAAAGGAACTCATGAACACTCATTCGTCTCGTCACTTCTTAAAGAAGACGGTATTGTGGACGGCGGGACCAAACACGATTATTCCGAGGATGACATCAAGAAGACAGCCTTGGTCATGTACGGCGGGGGAGCCGACACCACTGCGTCAGCCCTTCACAGCTTCATCTTGGCCATGATCCTATTCCCAGATGTCCAGAAGAAAGCACAGGCGGAGATTGATGGTGTTGTTGGTAGAGACAGATTGCCTGAGTTTGGAGACCGAGATCGCTTGCCATATACCAATGGTGTAGTGAAGGAAGCTTTGCGATGGCTCCACGTGGCGCCATTAGGCGTTGCCCACAGGACCGATGAAGACATCAGCTACCGAGGCTTTGATATACCCAAGGGGACGTACTTACTGCCGTCGATATGGTGGTTCTTGCATGACCCTCATACATATTCGGAGCCCTCTTCCTTCGACCCTGCCCGATATTCGGCACCTCGTAATGAGCCAGATCCCACGGATGAAGCCTTTGGTTACGGTCGGAGAATTTGCCCCGGCCGATTTCTGGCGGACGAGAGTCTCTTCATTACCATTGCTTGTCTCTTGGCGACATTCGATATCAGCATGGCTGTTGATGACTCGGGTAATGGAATTGCGCCCCAGATCGCTACGACGAGTGGCTTGATTTGTCGTCCAGTCGACTTCCCATACAGCATCACGCCAAGAAGTGAGCAGTCCGTGCATCTAATCAGATCGATCCAGGAGAAGTATTCATCAGAAGACGAAGATGCCGATCTTGTTCGGGACAAGTTCGCAAGGCTATTTGAGTAATGAGAATTCGTGGTGGTAAACGCAAAGGTAGAGCAAGATTAAAATCTTTCGGTCTGGAAATAGAAAGAAGTTACACTAGGACTTGTGTTCAAACACAAAACAAGACAATGCTTGCCATTCCAAACTCCACGTCCGTCTGAAGTAGTGGTTCGTTAGATTACTGCGGGCTTCCAGTCTTCTCAAAAGTCTCGCCGTATACCATGAAGATCGAGAGTTGAGCAGGATCATGACATAATCACGCAGACTCTAAGTTTTGTGGCTTCCACTGTTGACCACTGGTAAGCTCAAGCTCCCGTTCAGCAAATCAGGGCAGGAACAACGTAGTACCCTGGTGATCGATGATCCAGATAAAGAACCTTTCCACATGCATACGACCTAACACCAAAGTTTATCCAGCCCATGATTCGTCAACTCCCTCTGGCAGCGAGCCGGGCAATTTCGTCTGCTGCGATATCTCTACCCGGACGGCGAAGCGTCTGCTGTATTGCCCGCGCTTTGTCTCTTTTGGCGACGCTTTCGGGCCCTGCATCCACGAGCCGCAAGAAGGCATCACTAAGCTCGTCGAGAGAGAAGCCAGGGGCTGATTTTCTGTTGCCCCATATTCCAATCCCGACTTGCTCAACCCTAGCGGCGTAGTTATACAAGTCGAGCCAAGTTGCGAGAATGAGATGCGGCACGCCAGTCCTAGTATGCCTCGCATTAGCACCCATCCGTCAAGAGACACCAGATTGTTCGCAATGGCATAGACCATGACGAATGTCTTGAGACAGCGCTACCACTCACGCGATAGCTTCGTGATAGCAATTAGCCCCGCCGTGGTGGACGGAAGCAATGATATCGCCCGTCTCGAGTAGAGCAGCTGGATCCACCGTCAACCACTTCGATACCCTGAGCCTATCGGTCGCAATGAAGTCCTCCACCAAGGGCCTCCAATGTTTATCATCGAGACAAGTGTTCATCTTCCACAAAACCTGCACACTCGTGCGTCTCAGGACGACCTTTAATGCGCCGGCCATGCTACTTGCTGTGTCCGCATCGTATTCAAACAAACTACCAAGGTTAACAAGCACCGTCGGAGCCCTCCTTAGCCATAACGTTAAGTCATTGTCTTGCTCTGCGGCTGAGGCGACCGAAATCACGATAGGACCTGTTGTGGTAACGTTGGCTGGAACCGAGCTGAGCGGGATAGAGGCAGCAGCTGTGTCTTGGGAGATGAACACGCCGTTTCCAGGCTGATGAATGGTGAAAAAGCTAATTGGGTCCTCGAGATTGTGGCTAGCTAGGAACTTACGCTTCTCGACGAGCTCCGGATTAAATAGCATGGCCCAAGCAAAACTACCCATCTGGTAGATATTTGACGGGATGTTCCGCCACGGAACAGGGAAGTCATGGCCGGAGCCAAGGCTGCTTTGTTCAGTACTATCTCTATTTGGAGGAGGAGGAAAGTTGGCTTACGCCGGGAATTGCCAAAAACCTCTGAACCAGGGCTGCGCACCACCGAACACGTCGGACAGAACGTTCGGCGACAAGATGGCGTGCAAGCGATTATCGCCTCGGGTAGCGTCCACCCCCGGCCGGTGGAACATATCGAGCACCACGATAGCGGGATCGATGTCTCTGATGAGCTTTTGTACATGGTTGTGGATCATAAGGTGGTCTTCTCCCGTCCACCGTGAGACGAACATAGCCATGTCATCATTAAGTCCTTTTAGTCCCGGGATCCCAGGTGGGCGTATCCAATTTGGTGTGAAGTTGAACCCAGAGGCGTCAGAGGACTTTGGAGCGGGTAGTTGATGGAAAATGGCGGGACTAGATGACGGTGACTTTATGCGGGCGTGGGCGGACATCCTCTTGATCTTGGGCTCGATCTTGGGCCATGATGCAAAATGTACTATGATTTCTGGGTGACGTTCTAACAGGCAATAGACTGTCGCGACGTGAACGTTCGAGAGGCCATGCTCAACATTGGTAACAAACAACACAGTGTTGTTCTTACCGATCACCGGAGGCTGTTGTTGGATCTTAGAATTGCGAAGGGATAGGGCGGCGGCCAGAAGGGCGATGACCAGGGCCCCGAAAACCTGAAAAGGTCTACGTAAGAAAACGATCATTTTAAGACTGCGACAAGAAGTTTTATTTAGAAATTTCAAAGCCACTTGCTGCCATGCACTGCCAAACCTATATACTGAGTTTTACCTCCTAAATTCGACTCTGTACATGCCTTCGTCCAATTCCATAGTGGTGGAGTCGCATCACTACATCGGCGATCAGCTCGTATGGGGACCTGTGGTCGCATGGTCATCATCTGCATAGCAAGCTGACCGTGCATCGACCGAATTCAACAGCTAGGCTCCTTGCCCTGGCCATCCTGCCGGACTTTCGGTCAATCTGAGGACAAATTACCTCCGCAAGCCCACCGCAAGAACTCACCGTGAAGCCAAGCATAAAACGTTTCGTTAGACTCCGGCTTATCCCCCAGTACTGGTGCTGCTCACCATAAGCTGAACTTGTCTGGCCTTGAACTTCTTTATGCATTCTTCGCTTCCCATAATGACATTCACATTGCCTCCCACGATTATTCTCGGAACACACAGTGTGGGCATTTTTCATGTTGCTAACTGAACGCCGCTGATACGTAACCAGGTTGGAGACTCCATTGTCGATCCCGAAACCTCTCACTTTGATGCCGAGCAAGATGTCCAAGCTCTTCTAGATGGCTTCTATGGCCGTGGATACAACCACCTCGACACCGCTCGCGATTACTCTCCGAATGTACCAGGTGCTTCCGAGACACGTCTCGGCAGGGCTAAAGGCGCCTCTCGGTTCACAATGCACACAAAAGTCCACAGCGCAGATCCGGGAGATCATCTACCCACAAAGCTCGAACTTAGCATTGATCAATCACTGGAGGATCTCCAAACACCGACTGTCGAGACCATGTTTCTGCATTTTCCGGACCGCCATACTCCCTTTGAGGAAACGATCAAAGCGATGGACACCGCTCTGAAACGAGGAAAATTCAAGAGGTACGGTCTTTCAAACTATTCAGCTACTGAGGTGCAACGAGTCCTCGATATCTGCGAGCGACATGGATATAGGAAACCTGGTGTGTATGAGGGACATTATAACGCCATTGTGAGAGGAGCGGAGAAGGAGTTGTTTCCCCTGTTGCGGAAGCATGATATGGCCTTCTACGCGTATAGGTACGTCTTTAGCCTTTGATTATTTAAGAGCTGAATGCGAGTTAACTTTGTTGTAGTCCTGCGGCTGGCGGTCTTTTCTCAGGCCATACTGCTTCTTCGGGACGATGGAAACGAGATGTAGGTCACGAGGCTGGTGTTCCGAGTTGAATCATTACTCTAACTCAAAGAACACAGAACTTCCTAGGCAACGTTTACACCTACCTCTATCGGAAACCCCCGGTCCGCATTGCAGCAGCTACAATACTTGAGCTTGCAGAAAACCACGGCATCAATGGACACGCTGCAGCATTGCGGTGGACAGCATTCCATAGTAACCTGGATGGAAAGCATGGCGATGCCGTCATCTTTGGTGTTTCCAAGATGGAACAGCTTCATGAGACGCTCGATGCCCTTGAGGCTGGTCCTCTTCCCGAGGATCTTGCGGTTGCCATAAACTCTATTTACAATACAGTAGAAGGCGCCGAACCTCCTTACCACTTATGAATAAGTGAAAAGTAGCAATTGAACAACGAAATCAGGGAGAAGTATCATCGGAAGATGGCGAGACTTAAAGGGATGAGATGGGAAGGACCGACAAGACGTTGGAGATGGCGAGACTAGGCACAGCGGGCAAGGAGGCAGAGGCCATGTACAATTGGAGAAGTACGACATGTTAGTAAAGGAACTTGAGGAGAAGAGAGAGTCGAACTAGACGAACGAGGAGTGAAAGAATCTCCGAATGTACCAGGCTAAGGAAGGTAAACCCAAAGAAGAACTTGATGATAGGAAGAGAGACAGAGCAAAGTGGCCTCATGGATACTCTTATTGAGCCACGTGATTGTCACAGCTACCAATGTAGTAGCACAAGTCCTCGTTACTTGGTAAGGTCAGCTACTTGCATTTTTCTCCTAAGAATTATAAGAAGACAAGTATAAAGCAGAAATTTATATTGAGAATAAAGCCTAGGCCTGGCTTGAAAACCCATGCTATTGCCTCCATCAGCCATGAGCCATCGCCCTTACAAGTCCGATACATTGGATAATCTATGACTTCTCGTATCCCGATATCGAAACTTCGCCATTATTGACGACATTCTCGTAAGTCGGCACTGGCCCACGTGTCCTGTCGTACGCCGGAAGCTCCTCCGAGGCACCAGCGGGTGGCGATAGTGACTGGGTGTCTGCAGCTGCCACCCTCTCAACAGCCGGCAACACGACAACCTTTTGAGACCCGCTACACTCCCATGGCTCCCCTGCAATGACAAGGCGGAATTCCCACTTGAGAGTGTGAGTAAAGGAAAAGCAGTACGTTGTGTAATCCGGCCCCAGCGGATAATGATGTTTCTCCTCGCGCTGTGCCCGGCGACTGCACGCATCCAAAGGCGCGCCCAGCTCCAATGCTCTCTCTCCCGCAGCTGAGGGAACCAGGAGTGAACCAGTCTTAACCGCGATGGCTTGATCAAGGTGCAATGTCATTGTTTCGGTACATGTACCCTCGTGCGCTTCTCCTGTTCCCGGGCACGATACACCCGCTATCGTCAATAGTTTAATCACTGCGTTCGTCAGATAAACCTTTTGCAGGACATCGCGAAGTATCTTGGAGCTCTTCGCAACGTCGGGGATGATGTTGAGCCGGAACGGGATAGCGGCAGGGTTGCCCAGTTGAATGACCGAGGGACACTCCACCCGCAACTTGAAGTGCCATGCCGGGACTCTTTTCGAACCAAGGAACATCTGCCTTTTCTGATTCCACGTCAATTCCGCGTGCTCCATTCCCGGCGTAAGTCGATGACTCGTCACAGATCCTTCCGTCATCGTGCCACGCATTTCGAAATCCGTGTTCACCGCCGGCGCCGGCCGTGACAACACCCTCACTGGCAGAGTCGCCTCAATAGGCTGCATCTTCCTCCCCTCTAACAGTATCGCCGCTTCGAGAAAGTACTCCACGAACCCGCGCCCTTCACAGGTTGTCATGGCGTAACTCGCCGGTAGTGGTTGCTCTGGCAGAGCCTGCTTGCCTGTTACATCCCCCGGTGCGCGGAGATAGCTGGCCTCTCGTTGAACCCTTCGAAGCCCATCATTCAGGGCTTTGCCAGCCGTGTGTAGAGGCACCGTCAGCGTAAAAGCCCAGGTCTGCGACGCGGTGTTGGGCTCTGGTGCGATGTGCAACGGACCCTGATGGACGACTTGGGATACGGCGTTCCGGTCCCAGAACTCGAAGCCCGCATCTAAAATTACTACGGAGCGACCGCGTTGTACATGAAGCGAGGCGGCCGAGCCACCGATTAGATAAATGCGGATGGTCGCAGAGGCTGCGACAATGTGCGATTTTCGGGTGACGTGGCCGCGGATAACGGAGCCAGGGTAGAGCGGCGTAGAGGGGTCGAGTAGCTGAATAGAAAGGCCTGGGCCTCCTTTGACTTCAGCAGGCTCTATCATTATGGCTGCTTTGAATCTCACACTTCATTTGCCCGGATGGTGTTAACAGTGATAATGCTGACTGGCAAAGAATGGGCTTTGGGCATAGCGTCTTTTAGCACTGACGTTTGAAGCGCGAGGAAGTGAGCTCCTTAGGTACTTCCTGCTCATGTCCTTTGATACAATTCAGGCATCCTGATTGAGGCCTTCAAGCGGCACAGCAAGGCGCTATTGGTGGGCCAAGAAATCAATCAATTCATAATCTTCTTGGCGCGTGTGGAGCTACTTGCCCGAGTCGAGGCTTAGCTTTTTATAGTTATCCGTTAACAAATGCCGCAGCGCCGCCAGCAGCAGGTATGGCCCTAGACGGCCCGCCCGCTATCAGAGCAGCCGCGGTACCAGAAGCAATATATTAGATAGTGAGCGCAGGAGCTACTATTGCTGGCCTCCCTACTACTAGATCAGTAGTTATTAAAGCGACGATTGCAGTTATCTTAATGCCATTCATAAGTCGGATAGAATTGCTTAGACGTGGTTTACTTCCTGATTTATTACTATTTTAACTATGGTCTCGAAGTTACGCACGATGCTTGCTTTGTAAATCTATAGCAATCTAAGTTTGCCACTTCAGAATCAACTTCCCGAAGTCTGATGTCAGGTATTTTCTAAAAGTTGGAAATGATAGGTTGAGCCCCAGGAACTATAAAACCGAAGGATCAGCCTGATTACATAGACTCAGAGCCTTCTTGTTGATTGCTGCCCAATACACTAAATGCGGCCTGAGCCGTACTTTCGCTAATGTGCTTCGATCAGGGACTCTCTTCGGTCATCTAGCCAAGCAGTATGTACTCCAGGTAGGGCCAGCACACGTCGGTACATGAGGATGAGGATGCATGGTACTTATGCTTATAGACTAGCTCAATATTGCTCCACATCGAGATGCTTGACAACAGTAACAAAAAAGCCCAGAGCATTTTGCTTGCTGTGACTGAGCATTTGTGCCTACATCAACAATATCAGCTAACACATGCCTATCCGTTACTCTTCACCCTGACAACAACCGGCGCTCGGTACTCATCTAGGTCTTCTACGTGATTCGCATGGCTCGCAACAGGCCATATTTGGACAACAGAATGAAACGATACCAATACTCTCCGCTTGCATCAAATCGCCAAATTCGCCTCTTGAAGCTATCTGCCGGAACAGAGGCAGAGAAGTTATCCGGCGAGCTGATGTATGTCTTCCTCGATGAGAATCCATCCTTCACCGCGCTTTCCTACGCATGGGGCGATGAGCAGCCGCGAAGAGCAATTTACTCCTCGAATTTCAAGATGGAGATTGGCCTCAGCCTACACAGCGCCTTGAGCCATCTCCGACAGCCTGACTGCGACACTCTCCTTTGGGCAGACGCGCTCTGCATTAACTAACAAGATGACTTAGAGCGCAGCCAGCAGGTCAGGATGATGGGCGACATATACGCCGCTGCGTCCGCTACAGTTATATGGCTTGGCGAGGAGTCGAGCGACGTCAAGATGGCCTTTGGCTGGCTACGCAGGTTCGCCCTGGCTTGGAGCATACCGGAGTCTGGCCTAGACTTGATCACCAAAAGTCGGGCTGAGGGGCCGTTGCAGGCGGCGTTCGGCAGGCACCGTGCTACTGCATTTCGACATTTGTGGGCTCTGCTTGACCGTCAATGGTTCACACGGAAGTGGGTCATTCAAGAGCTGGTGAAATCGCAAAGGCCAATGTTGATGGTCGGCAGACTATATCTCTCATGGACTTTGCTGGTTCTCTGGATCAGTTTCGTTGAGCGGTGCCCCAAGGCAAAGGAGGAGTTCATACTAGCCTGCCCCGTCCCTCTCGAGGCTGGGGGAAAGGTGTTGGGATTATCTCTTCTGCGAGCTTCACTTCTCACGCGCATAGAGAGTACGGAGAAGCAACTTCTGCCGTTTCTTATCGTGAGGACACTGGAATTCAGATGCGCTGATCCACGCGATCACATTTTCGCGATGGTAGGTATCGCATCTGATGCCGACCGTTTCGATCTGATCGACTACAGAAGCCCAATAGAGATCGTTTGTCGACAGCTCGCGTCTGTTTGTGCCGCCGACATCATGAGTCTCAAGCTACTATGGTCTCTCCATAACTTTACTCCGTTAAGGTGTCGGATACGTTCTTGGGTGCCAAATATCGAAAGCGTGGTGAGCAGTAGGGATGGGGGTACTTTGGTCACCCAGTTCTCTATACAACAACATAAAGACCATAACGCATCTGGAAACACTGTGCTGCAAACGGCATTATACGATGGCGGGGATGTCCTAGCGATACGGGGCTGCATCATCGACAAGGTTCGCCTTCTCGGATCGGATATGAGAAGTCTTGGCGACGGCCGTATTGTGGAAAAGGTATTGAATAGGAACCTGTATTCCACTAGGAAGAATATTCAGGCGATGCTGAGACGGAGATGGGAATGGCTCGGAGAATGTATGGCTATTGCAAAGACCTCGGGCGCGACCAACATCGAGGGAGCTTTACAGAATGCATTGTTGGGTGATTCTTTCATCAATGAAGAAGTTCCTCAGAGTTTGGCAGTTGTCAGGACAGAGTTTTCTACTCAGATGCAGCTTTTCAAGGCAATGGCTCACGAAGTCAACCTTATTAGGTGGTTTACCGCCGTGATGGTAAGTATGGGCCTTGAATCAAGCAATCTCCTCGAGAGCATGATACTGGAAAAGCTGCAACGGCGGTTTGGCAGTACGAAGAGCGGAAGGCTAGGCTGGCGAACGAGGTTTGCTGAGGAGGGAGACTTGATCTGTATCTTTGACGGGATGGAGCTTTCGTATGCCATCCGACCATGTTCAGACGGCCGATATCTCCTCGTTAGTGGATGTATTATCTCGGGACTCATGACGGGGGATGGGATAGAGTCGTTTAGTACTAGTTCGGAGATTATACTCTTTAAATAGTCCTAATTCGTTTATTTATATAGTGCTACTATCATATAAATTGAAATAGCTTTTATTAAACTATTTATAAATATAAATAATAGCTAAAAATAATTTATTTACTCCTTATAATAGCTAATAAAGCACTTATAAAAGATAATTACTTATTAATATATAATTATAATATATTTTAAAATAGGTTAAAGAGAACTAAATATATTTTACTTGATACTTAATTAAGTTAAAATAATAATAAATAACAATTAATATCTTTTTATTAATATCCTTTAGTATTTAACTTTTTATTTATAAAATATACTTTATTTATTTTAATATATTAAATAAGTAAAATCTATTTAGATTTAAGGAATTTTAAAAAACTAAATTTTTAAAAAAGTATCTTTTTTTAAATAAATATTTTAAATTCTAATTCTTTTTTTTTTTTTTAAAAAAAACTAATATTAATATAAGGCTAAAGGGTTGAGTTTAAAAGAAATTTTTAAATTTATAAATTTAAATATATACTTTAACTAACTTTTACTCGCTTACTAACTAGTAAAAAATCGTTTAATTTTATTAAAATCTTAAATACGTACCTTAACTAACTTTTATTTATTATTAGCGAGTAAAAAATCGTTTAATTTTATTTTAAATTTATAAATCTTAAATACGTATTTTAACTAACTTTTTATTCACTATTAATAAATAAAAATTATTTAATTTTATTTTAAATTTATAAATCTTAAATATATACCTTAACTAACCTTTTATTTATTATTAATAAGTAAAAGAATTATTTAATTTTATTTTAAATTTATAAATTTTAAATACGTACTTTTACTAACTTTTACTAATTATTAATAAATAAAAACTATAAAATCTATACTTTACTTAACCTTAATTATATTTCTTATTTTAATCCCTTTAATAAATAAAAATAATAATAAATTTATTACTTTCTATTTTAACTTTTTTTAAATTTATTATAGAGCTTTTATTATCTTAGGGCTTTTATTTTTAAAACCTTATTTATAATACTTATTTTTCCTTAATAAAGTAATTTGCCGGGGCCGTACTATATATTACGTATTAAAAAAACTAGGTATATTATGCTCTATACTTAATTACTAACTAAAACCGTAGTAATAGTTAACCGATTTAATTATTATCTCCTTTTATTAACTCCTAACCTTTTACTATTTCTAGCTATTTATAAAGTAAGCTTTACCTATTTTAATACGTATAGGACCTCTTAATACTAGCCTATATAAATAACTAAGTTTAATATAATCTTTTTTATATAAGTATTATTATTACTTAGGGGCTTATAAAAGTTATTTAAAATATTAGTTTATTACTTTAACCTTATATTTTTCTAACTTATTTATTATAATTATTATAATTAAGTTAGTATTAATATATTAAATTTTAATATTTATATTAGCTTAGTTATTTATAATATTTATAATATTACTTAATTAAATCCTATATTATTAAAAAGTATTTTATTATTTTTTAAGCGTACTTATATTAGTTATAATAATTATAGTATTAAGCTAGCTAAAGTAAGCGCTTAGCCCGAGAGGGGTAAACTTATTAATAAGTATTTTTAAATAAGAATAGGTTCTCGTCGAGGTAATATTTTAACTAGCTAACCTCTTAACTAGTAATTTAACTAGTTATTTAAGTAATAATTTATATATTAATAAGTTTATTTAATAAGTTTATTTAATAAATTTATTTAATTTAAATAAAGAGTAGCTTTAAGTAATATTAAAAATAATAAGGATAAAAAAAATCTTTATGAGCTTTAAGTAGTAAATATTAGCCCTTTAGCCTTTTTTAAAAACCTCACGTTACTATTAAAGTTTAGAACCTTTATAATTAAGGGCCGCCTCTAACCTTTTTATAGCTAACTATTATAACTAACCTCTATTATTAACTTTTTAATTAGTATTATTATTAAAGGGTAGCTTACTTATCTTAAATTAAATAGCGGTTTTCGTATTAAAATTATTATATTACGTTAAGTATATACTTAGGGTATATTATATATATTATATAGTTAAAAATATATTATATTATATAATTTTTTTAAAAGTATAATCTTATTAAGGTCGATTTTTACGCTTATAAAGCTAGAAAAAACTATTATATAATACTTATTTTTATTATATTATATAAATCTTATATAAATAATACTTAACATAACGAATATAATAAACTATAGTAAAGTTAGTAGAAGATATTAAATAAAATAAATATAGGGTATAAAAATAGGGGTAAAGTTAATAAAGATTATATAGGTAGAGTTAATAAATATTATCTAGAATAAACTAACTAAAAATAAGATATATTAATTTATCTTAATTCGTTTATAACGCTTATAACTTTATAATTATCTAATTTTTAAGTTATTATTATAAAATAATAATTAAGATTTTAATAATTTTATAATAAGTGGGTCGGACTAATTACGGGCTAAATAGTATTTATTATTATACTTAAAAAGAAAATAGTTCTAATATTTAATATAACACTATAATAAAAATAATTATTTATTAAAAATAATTACTTATTTAATAATATTTTAATTTAATTATAATTAATATAGCTTATTACTTTTTAAAACTTTTATTATTTATTATACCTTAGTATATACAATTCTTAGGATCTCGACCAGTTCTAATTAAAGCGCGAGCTTTTATTAATTATATATATTTAAGCTATACAAACCTTTTTGTCTTAAAAAAGTATAATACTAAAAACTAATTATTATATATAAAAACTAATTAACGCCCTTATAAATTTAAATTAAATAACTTTTATTTTCTAAAATTAGTATATTATACTTGACTACTTTTTATTATAAAACCCTTTTATAATTTTAATACTATCTTTTAAAAAAGTTTAATATATTTTTATTAATCTTGCTTAGTATTATTCTTATTAAAACGTTCTTATTAAGAATATTTAATTATTTCGTATCTAAATATTATATACTCTTTTAATTCTACTTAAAAACTTATTATTATATATTTAATTTTTATTTTCTATTTAATACGAAAACATATTATAATACTTACTTAATAATTCTAATTATTATATTTCGTATATACTTAATATATACCTACTAAATATAAAAACTAATTATCCTTATAAAAACTAATCGTTTATATAAAAATTAATTATTTTTATAAAAACTAGTTACCTATATAAAAACTAGTTACCTATATAAAAACTAATTATCTTTATAAAAACTAGTCGTTTATATAAAAACTAATTATCTTTATAAAAACTAGTTATCTATATAAAAACTAGTTATCTATATAAAAACTAGTTATTTTTATAAAACTAGTTATCCTTATAAAATCTAATTATTTTCGTAATAAATAGTTAGTTATTATACTTTTAATAAATTTTTTAAAACTTAATTCTTATATAAATACTTATCGTTCTTTTAACCCCTCGTTTAAAATTATCTCTATTTATTCCTCTCTTATTTCTATTACTCTTTAAATAAATAAACGTATTTAATATTTTATATTATTTTTATAGTATTTTATACTTTTTAATAATTATTATTACATATCCTAAAAGCTTTACCTATATACCCTCTCTCTTTTATTTTTATTAATAACGTTTTATATTATAAATAAAAAGTAAATAATTAATTTTTTTATAAAACCGCGTTATTAAATATCCCTATAATTATAATATTCTCTCTATTTATACCTCTAGTATTAGTATTACCTAAATAATATTATTAATTTTTAATATTATTTTATTATAGCTATATAATCCCTACTTTAGTTTGAGAATTAAGGTTATTAATTAAAACTATATGCTATATATATCTATTATTATTTATAATTATAGCTGCTACTACCTCTTATTAATACTACTCCCTATAATTACTAACCGTACTATAATTTACTAACGGGCTCTACTAACTAGGATTAAATAATTAAAAATACTTTAGTAAAATTAATTATTTAAAATATATATTATTAACTACTAGTCTTATATAAACAAGGGCTATAATAATAATAATATATACTTATCTAAAGATATATAATATTATTTTAGGTTTAAAAGTATAAAAAAACTTTTCGTTAATATAATTTATAAATTCTAATTCGTTTTTACCAATTAACCCTAAGTATTCTAAGTTTAAAATAAAAAGACTGTTAGTATTATATACTAGAGACTTACTACTTTAATTATTAAAGTAGCTAATTATATTTTTACTAAGTAGCTTATAATATAATTATATTATATATAAAGTACCTACGACCCTCTTATTTACTCCTAAATTATTATTATATTTTAATATTAAGTTAGTATAGGTATATTTAGCTTAGTTATATATATATTTATTATAAATATAAGTTTACTTTATATTTTATAAAATTTATATATAATTATCAGTATCCGTCCGGTTCTATTTTAGCTAAGTTTTATACCCTTTTTATAATTTATTTAGCTCTCCTCTTTTTATTATTAAATAAAATTTAAAATTAGGGATTTAAAATTCGTAAAAGAAGTATATATAAGTAAAGAATAATTATTAATTAGGTTACTTATTTATATTATTTATTATTCTTATTATTCCTTTTAATTACGTATTATACTTTATAAATAATTAAATATATTTAAAGATATTTTAGTATAGATAAATATAAACTATAATCCTATATCTTATTAACCTAATTTTTTTAATAATTTTTTTATACTTCTTAGTAAGTATTTTAGTACTAAATCCTTTTTACCTTACTTAAACCCTTAATTACTATTTTAACTTTTTAATTACTTAACTACTTAATATATATATATAAATATATATATATATATCCTCTCTCTCTCTACTTCTAATTTTAACTTCCTCTTTTTATTTTTTTATATTTTAAATAGAATAATAATTTTTATTTACTTTTATAAATATAGAGCTACTTATTAAATAACTACGGCTTAATAATATACTCCTAATCTTAAATATTTAATAACGTATTACGTATTTT